AAAGCATTGGAAATCTGCAAATGTGCTTGAAGCACCTTGAGTTTGCAGACAGATTTTTGTTCTGCATTACGAATTATAAGAGGTTTAATGTTCATTGAATTTCAAATAAAGTACGAATTAACGAGGGGACCAAAATCATGCAAATTTTACGAATTAGTTAGCGAACTGTTTTCAAGGGATCAGCAGTTTGTTATGAATGATTTAGTTTTTCGATTTATCGGGGTACGAATTATCGCGATTCGACCGTATTTTGAAAACATGTTTTAAAATTTAAAAGCCTGGTACACATTAAAGCAAAACTATTATAGAAACATTTTTGTTTAAAGATATTACAATTTTTTTTTGAAAATTTAAATTAATTACTTACAAGCTGCTACAAAATTTTTAAAATTGCTTCACTTACTTCAAGAAATGAAGGCATTAGGTTATCATAGAACACTCCACTTGCGAGTCCTTTAATACCCTTTACTTGTGTAACATTATTATCTAAAAAATATTTAAAATTATATATTAATATCTGCTCACAAGTTTTTTTTTTTTTGAATAAATTACTTAAATAATATTCGTCGCATTTATCTTTAGGGCAGAACATATCATAGAGGAATGAATCATCTTTGGTGCAATTTTCTATTGGTATATCCTTCAGCAGCCTTTTACCAAGAACACATAAACTAAATAAATAGAATGTTGTTAATTAAATAGAATTAATTTCTTTGACTTGTACTTACTAAAGTTTTTCATTACCATGTATATTATCAAATATACCGACGTAAACAGCCACAATTGACAGTATTACACAAGCCAGTGCTACTGCTGCAAATTTATTTACAAAGCGCACACCCAAGAATACAATTAAGCCTTAAAAATGATTTAAAAATTATATTAAGACTGATTTAAAAATATTTATAAAAATTAAAATACCCATAAACAAAAGCAAAATGGTGCCATAAACTCTAAAGTTATTATACATAGCTTCTGCGTCTTTTGTGAAGTCTCCAAATATGGAAGCCCACGGTGCCATATATGTCTGGAAAAATAATTGTGTTAATAATTCACTAATTCAGTTATTTATATATATTTTATTACCAGAACAATTTCTACAGCACCTACGATATACATAGCTGCGGCTAATGTTGTCCCTGTATAGAATAGCATTCCAACAGCTCCACCAAATTCTGGACCAAGAGATCTAATAAAAAAAATTTAAATTTATTTGAATGATATGAGTTGATATTTTATAAATTACCTTGAAATCATAAAATAACTCCCTCCCGCCGGCACCACACCATTTGTCGCTATGGCAGACATGGAAATTGCAGTCAACATTGTCTAAAGATAACATATTTTATAAAACCTTTTTATTGAGATACTTATATTTTGCAGAAGTAAAAGTCCTTAAAGAAGTAATAAAATATTTTTAACTTAAAGTAAACTATATAAATCAATTACTCAAATAATTTTCTTGTAAATATAAATAATGTCATTAAAAATAGAAATAGGTATGTCATTAAACTGAAATCAGTTATTACTGGCTTCTGGCTTATTGCAGAACAAATTGCAAATAGTTACTTTCTAAACAATAGAACATTCCTTCGTTTCATATGTGTACGCTTTAGAAGCAGGTAAACTTCTTTTCGAAAATCTCGGGGAGCTAGCGGAAGCTTATATAATCAATATGCAAAGGTTATTTAACCGCATGAACTGGATTTAATCGAGTTGTTAGAAACAGTCAATCGGAAAGTTGGCAACGAGAATGTGGCATCAAAGCGGTTGAAAAACGTAGACTCAAGGACTAAGTCACCACTGCAACCAACCAACCAATCAACCATAGACTTAAACAATAATACTTAGATTAATCTGATTAAAATTTACTAATTATATTTTCTTGTTCTGTTTTTATCTAAATGGAATTTTTATTTATCATCAAGCAACGTATTGAAAAAATACTTTGTGATAACTTTACTATATTTTGTGATTAATAGAAATGGTGTCATTAAGAACAGATTAAAAAAGCGATTTATATAAAATAATAGTATAACTTCAAAAAAGATTAAGACAATTAAAATGGATGCAATAATTTTATTGTAATTTTGGTAACTTTTTATTTAAAGGCATTCAAACCTTATCAGAAAAATACAAACTTAGAAAAAGTTGATTAAATTAGTTAAAATTAATGGAGTAATTGTATTATAATTATCGACAAGTAATCATTCTTTGTAATTAAAATAAATTATAATGAAAAATACGAGCACTTACAACACAACAACAGGTCAACACGATCAGAAATCCACATACAGCTCCGGCAGTTCCTACAACCCATGTTAAACGGATAAAAAGTATTACACCAAATATATTTTGTATACACGGTAAAAATACACCAATCAGCGTGCCTTTAAATAATAAATAGTAATTGTTATTGATAAAACCCTATATAAAAATTGTGAATAATAAAATATTTTCCAAACTGTATATAATTAAATAACTTTAAGACAATAATAAAACCTACCCATACGAGCTGATGGTGCTGGTGTTTTAGCATCTGGATCCGCCGCCGCAGGTATCGTATTTTCATAGTTAGCTAAAGATGAAATAAATTTAGATATATGCGGTCTTGTTTCTAACTCATCCTCATATAAATATAAATTAGGATCAATTTTCGATTTATCGTTGTTTTCATGATTTTTTTGGCTTTCAGCATCTAAAAATAAATATACAAAAATTTATATATTTTATTTTATTAAATATATATAAATATGTTTTAACATATATGATTAATAGTTCGAAAAGACAACGGTACTGTTCAATTGGTATATTATTGTTGAACTAAGATATCGTTTTTAAACGATTATAATTAATTTATTCAATATATAAACATTATTTCCTGCTTCACTTTATCTTAGTCCAACATATTTTGCATCCATATTATATATACATTATATATAAATTATGTTTAAATATTAATCAAAGAAAATGATAAATAGCATGTTCTCATTAATATCTTTAATATATTAAATACCTAATCCTGATCATTTCCAATAAATAACGTGTAAAATAGATTATATTAATTTTGCAGTTTTTACCGTATTAAATCAGCTTAGTGAGGGAATTACTATAAGTCAAAAACTTCCAATCTTACCTGGAGCCGTAGAACCGGCCGTAACCTTGGACTCTTCTTTATTTGAATCCATTTTTTCTAAATTTATTTTTGATTCTTCTGCTTTGTTCATTGCACTCCAAATATTTTAATTTGTTTTATTTTTCATAAATGTTCATTCATTTGCAATTTTTTTACTTTTATATTTGTTAACTCCTTAGATTTATGTTGTATTATATGTTGTTGGTTTTATTAATTATATTAATTTTGGTTGACGCCCATTTTTAAGTTTGTTTATTTTACGTATTTAATAATATTTCAATTATGTACCAAAGAATTTAATTCTATACGAAAGACAATTTGAAGGTAAAATTAAGTATACCCGTGAAATCTGAGAAGGTGAAAATATATTTCTTTTATGTGTATGCTATAGGAACAAGTATTCCAATAAAGTCTCGCTTGTCCGGTTTAAATGTTGATAGATTTAATAATTTAAGCTAATAAGATTTTAATACAAACATATTGCAATATTACATTCTATATAAAACATTGTAAAGTTGAATGAGGATTTTAGAGAAGGATAGAGGGTTACATAAGTTTAAAAATGTTATGGAACTGCAAAAGTCAATAGATGACACACGACCTTAATAAAAACAAAACTGAGGATGAATGGAAAGAACATGGAGAAATAAACTACAGGATCAAAAAGAGAACTAGCCAGTTTCTTGCATATTGTTAGCTGATGCACTGAATTTCGACTATGTACTCACTCTATTGTTTACATTAAACTCTGAGTGGAAGTTTGAAGTGGTATATTAAACAGTTGATTTAATTTCAGTTTAGTACCATAATTCATATACAGTATGACATTAGGACTCTGTTCTATTCTTTTTTATTTATTGCTTTTTGCTTTTTAGGTGTTATTTGCTGGCACTTTAACTTTAGTTTACTTTACAATTAAGCCCAATGTGATTTTGTTAATACATACTTTTAATTATTTTATTAAATAATTTAAATTCTTAGTGAATCTCTATACAATGATTGAAAGTAGTCTCACTAATAAAGTGCAATTTATACTTTATACTTAACATACTTAATTATAAAAAAATTTAATAATAGTTTATAATTTAAAAACAATATATTCACTAAAAATAATATATTCATCAATAAACAATAAGAAAATTTATAGTGTATGGCAGGTAAAACTGTGCGAGGGCATGCATAGACTTTACATATTCTGACAGCGATACCAGAATTGAGTCCTTGAAGTATTACTTGATTCAACGTTTCTCTATTTATCAAAGCATTTATTAATAAAATTGTATAAAAATGGTTTGGAATATAAAATTTAAAAAAAATTAATATTTTATTTAAAAATGAGATGATTTTAAAAAAGTTAATACAAAAAATTATAATTATGCAAATTTTTATATAAAATCTGAGACCTATTGAAATTAGTTTGCATGTTTTTCTTACTTATATCAGTTTGTACGAATATAGGTCAGTACATACAGCCTGCTGAAAATATGAGTGCAGCATACAAAAAAAAATAAATATTTTGCAAATGATGATAGAAGCTAAAGCTTTTGTAAATCTAGGTTTTTAGATACGTCGAAAATGGATTTTATAGATTAACTGTGTAATTTGAATAAGAAAATTTTAGAAGGACATAACAATTACTATTGGAAAGATATTTAAACAATATTACTTTAGTAACAAAAGTAATAATAAACAATTTATAGTTTATCAGCTTTTTTTTGTTAAAAATAACATAAAATTTAGCAAAAATTGAAATTTGCGACTAATGTTCTTAAATTTTTATTAATTTTGTTTTAAACAAAGAAAATACTTCAAGAGTAATTTTAGTTTTTTTTTCTTTTTGTGAGTTCTGTGCCAATTTTGTACTTGTATATATTTATATATATTATCAGCTGCAGACTTTGGAGCTTTACGATAAGTAGGACCTACATTCGCACACTTTTTTGCAGACACTGGTGAACATATTCAAACATATATCTGAGTACTTAAATCATTCCGTACTTAAAAGTACTTAAAATAATTATTTGATGACCTGAAAACATGACCTGATTTAAAATGTTCAATTTTTTCATATATTATTGTAATTTTTTTTATTTCAAAATGAAAGTTCTTAAACAAATATCTAAAATAAGTGTTTTGTTATGATTTGTATTACATAATATCTAGATTTTACTGAGGGCTTAACACGATAGCACTTTTTATAATTTCTTCTTTATAATTACTTTGAAAATAATAGTTATTATTTAGCAAGAACACAAAACCCCATATCGCCAAAATTTTAAGGTTTTCACTTTTATTTTGCCAATGCCTTACTCATTTTGCATAAATTTTATTTTTATTGCATTATTTCATTTAAAACTATGCTTTTTATTTAAAATTTAAACATTTCTTTCACTCTAAATAATCTTATCATAAGATTTAATTAAATAAATTAACTTCGTTTTATATTTTATTTAATGTTGATTTTATTATTGCACTACATATTTTATATTTTTTAAATATTTATTTATTGAATTGACTGATTTGTTTTAAATTCGAACATTTTTGCTAAATGATAAAATTTTAGTTAAAATAATCATATCTCATCTCCACTGCCTTAAAACGGTGTGTGCGATGCAAAACTAAAACACGAAGGACTTGCGTACTATTAAAAAAATTGAGTGATACACAATTTAATACGAACTTTGCAGGGAAAATTCTTATATCTGCACATATGTTTATAGGCATGTGTATTTTTGTATTTGCAGCATCCTTATAGTACCTCAAAGCTCTCTAAGCTTTGTACCAAAACGGGAGAGAGAGCTTAAATTTAAACCAAAATTCCAGCACCCTCCTAATTTAATTCTTGTTGTACTAGTTTCTGTTATTTGGTCTTTATATAATATACAAAATATTGATACAAAATAAGATATATTCATATATATATATATGTATATATTTGAACTAATACACAGAAGAAAATGTGCAAATAAATATAGTATGGTTTGTACCTATTTCAATGTCCCAAAAGTTTAGCCCTAATAATATATTTTATGAGCTGAAGAACTCGTAATTTTCTTTCATAATTTTTATTATTATTAATAATAAATTTTATTATCTTATAATACAATATTATATAAAAAATATAAAACTTAATATTACAACTTAATATATAAAAACATAATAAAAAAAAAATATATAAACGTCTGGTAGGAACAGTAGTAGAATAGAGACGAAACAATTGCTTCTAGATGTTACAACGTATGAGTGCTAAAATGTTCATATTTTGCATATAAATTATTTGGTGAATCGATAAATTTTAATGTTAAAAATGTTTATACAGAAATTTTGAATTATAAATACACTTCAATTTCATTTTTCATACATTTTCACATCACATCTACTCTGTAATTATTCAGTGTATGTGCAATGTAAACTAAATATGCTAACGATTTATTCTTTAGAGGATCTTAGTTAGTTTGAAGACAGTCCTTTAAAACATATCTAAGGTTTAATTAAAGGTTTTTCATCGTTTGTGTATTACAACTTCTTTAAAGCAGTATGTTACATATTTAACTTATCAGGAAGAGTGATTATAAAAACAGTAATCATCATATCGGTTGGCATGAGGAGTTTTAATCAACTTGGGAGTGCTGTTTCTCTGATTGATAGTCGCTTTATTTTAATGTTTATGTTAGAAAGTCATTTTCGTAGTACTTCCATAAAATCGTCCATCTGCAAATCTCTATGTAAGACATCGTCCAGTATGTATCATACAACAGTGACTATGGTATGTTTTTCAGTATTTTGGATTGGAGGCTTTATAATATTAGATTATTCAGCGGTACCACATAACTGTGTTGTAGGTTACGAATTTGTTTACAACTGATAAAGCTGAGTTCGGATCAAGCAATCAGTAAAATTGTCCGAATTTTTGATGTACTTTATTTTTCTGAAGAATATGGTCATTTCAGTTTTAAGTCTGTTGTCATTCCAAGATATTTCGAAATATAATTTTTTGTTTAATTTCTATTTGTATAGGTGAATTGTATTATTTTTCTCGCAGTTTATAAGCTATTCGGGTATTCTATTTATTAAGTTTACTAGGTTGTTCCAAGCTTTGTCAATATTATTGTGTGTAGTTAAGAAATCAAAGGTGACATCACTGAATTAAATTATTATAAATGACTTGACTTGGTAGATAGGCTGTGTTAAGTAGTTACAGACGGGATCGAGTATATTACCCTGTGATATTCTAAAATTCATATTTTTCATTACTGATATATCTTCCCTGCATTTCACATAAAAGCAACTGTTTTTATATAGAAAAAGGTAATTAAAATAAATTCTTTGGTTGTTTTTTTTGGTTGTTTGTGTCTATATAAAAGCCCGTTTAGTCTCAAAGGGTTTAACAATATCTAACGAGACCGTTACAGTAAAATTTCTCACGTCTATTTTTATGGAGATTTTGTATACTATTTTATGCTCCTGTTGAATTTCTGACATATTTTTTTTAAATTTATATAAAGGTTGATAAATACCAATAAATTAATAAAGGTTGGTTAATGGTTTAAAGCACTATGTTATAGGTAGTAATATAATGGGCTACGAGCTCAAAGTGGATCGCCAATATCGTCATTACCTGTTGTTTTGTTAAATCTGTCTAACTAATGTTAATTGTAATCAGGGACCGAAAATAACAGTTATTTTAAAATTTTTTATGAAAAAAAGCAGCAACAAAAAGTTGTCTAAACTCTTATTTAAGTAAATAGTTATCATTCTAACAACTTTTATCCTTAATATTATGCATGCTTTTTATATTTGTGCTTTTTAAAATAAAACTCAAAAAATAATAATTATTATATGCCTTTTATTTTTTTCGCGCAGCAATAACTCTTAAAATTTGCTTCTTATTTTAAAACGCACAAATAACTGGTATACTTGCGTTATATAATATAAAAAGCAAGAGTTATTTTTAAAATGAAAATATAAAATGCAATTTTCATACAAGGTAGTTGTTTTTGCAATTCCATAGAAAATGTTTGAAAAGGTTGGTGTAGGTAAAGATTTAGTTCAGTTTTTTGTTTTTGTATTTTACATACAAATTTGTTCTCCTACAAAATACGAATGTAAATACAAAATATAAATGCAAAATACAAAAACAAAAAAACTGAACTAAATCTTTACCTGCACCAACCTTTTCAAACATTTTCTATGGAATTGCAAAAACTACCTTGTATGAAAATTGCATTTTATATTTTCATTTTAAAAATATCGCGCAGAATTTGCGCGATACTCTTGCTTTTTATATTATATAACGCAAGTATACCAGTTATTTGTGCGTTTTAAAATAAGAAGCAAATTTTAAGAGTTATTGCTGCGCGAAAAAAATAAAAGGCATATAATAATTATTATTTTTTGAGTTTTATTTTAAAATGCATATGATAACAGTTATAAGATGATTTTTATTTTTTTTATGATAACTGTTACGGTCCCTGATTGTAATATGTAATATTTTCATAAAAAAACATGCGGTATAGAGTATGTTAAATTTGATTTGTTAAAATTGAGATATGAAATCAGCTGTTTTCGTTTTATTATAACAGTATTCAGGTAAAATAAAATGGCACATAATGCGGTTTTTTAACAATTTAATCAATAAAGATTTCAACACATTAACATAAGTTTAACATATTTGACGAAGATCATGAAAAGCATAATTATTTTTCGATATAATTTATATTATTGTTATTAAGAATATGTTATGTGGTCAATTGTAATGTTTAACTATTTGCAAAGAATTTATTTTCTTATTTTTTGATTTACTACGATAATTTAAATTAATACGAAATCATTATATTTTTAATTTAATTTTAGTTAATTAACCATTTAAAACTTAGAAAACACGATCGTCATTCAAGATAGAGATCTAATCTGGAATTTGTTCTTAACAGTTGACTAATGACCCTTGGCATGGATTGCTTTTAAAGGATTCATTTTAGTACCAAAGCACATGAATTAAATTATGTCGATTGAGCAAATTTGATCATATACATGAGATCAATATATATATATAATATTGATATAATTTATATACAATACAATTTTTTACAAATTTTATAAATGTTTATAAATTCATTACAAAGTTAAGATAAAGATACTAATTTGAGAATAATATGAGAATAGTAAATTTCAATGAAAAAGTTTTTCTCTAGAACTTTCTAACAAGGACGTTGATGTAAGTCATATACATATAAGATTTTCTCAATGAAATATTGAATTAATTTTTGTATGACCAAAATAAACGAATATCAGATTCGTGAATATATATAATATCACAAAATATTAAGAATAAACACATTATTATTTTACTATAAGGCAGTTATTTTTTTTTATTAGAGTTTGTTATATCCGCAAATTTTAACAACCTCAAATTATATGGAATTATTGTATATTTGTTTAGGGTTTGGTAAACTAAAAATTAATAGATTCTTACCTAAGTAATTTGTGTCATTAAGTAACTTGTCCGATTGCGCTTCATCTTCCTGATATATATTTGCATCTTCTTTTGCTTTGCTTACTTTAAATCTATCCGGCATTTTGCCTAAAACCAAAAGTATTTATGAAGTAAATAAATTTATTTATTATAAAGTATTTATATAAGTATATACATATATAGTTATAATACTTATATATTATATAAGTATTTATTATAACCTAATATATTTTCAAAATCTGTGTACATATATTAAAATCTGTTATTTAACACTAAAATTGTTAATTAATAACACATACTAAATTTTTGTTAAAGTTTTCAAAAAATTTTAAAAATAATATATTATACGTTTTATTAATTATTACTGGGCTTAGGACGTTAATTTAATATATAAAAATTAAAAACGTTTTTTTATGAGGACTTCAGTGTGACACTGAAGATAGTTTACAAAGTAGACTGAAATATCTGTAATACAAATAATTTTATATTAAATTAATATACAATTAAATATTAAACACAAATTTATAAGTACAATTTTTATTTAAAATAATATTTTTAACTTTAATGTGTTAAATTAACGACCTAAGCACAGAAATAATTAAAAAAAGTTATTGAATATTGTTCGTAATAACAATTTATTAAAAAATAATATATTATTTATATATATATAATATATTTTCTTAAAATTCAATTATTAAAAATATGAGTATTGACAATATGTATAAAATGATTTTAATCGTAATACAAATCAAACATCATGTTTCTTATATTTAATGATTGCCCAAAAATTTCCAGATATGTTAGTATACTAACTCAATTATACATATTAATAATAATTAATTTAAATGGCCTGATTACAAGATAAATTTTATATTATGAAAAAATTAAACTTTTATTTAATTAGAAATTTAATATTTATATAAATCCTCATTATTATGCACTATTTTGGTTTCAACAACAATTCCATCACGTTACAGTGAATTCCATCAAGGCAAAAGCCATTTTTTACGATACATGACATTTATTATGATACAAGCTGCAGCTCGAATATATTGTTAATTATTTATGGGCATGTAAACACAAATTATAATAGCA